GCCCATAAACTAAAATATTAGCCAATATTTTGGTATATCGGCCAACGGTTTAAACATTGGTGAAACCTCAATGGAATTATAGATTTCTTTTTCTTTGCTTTTCCCCCCCACTTATTATATCTTACGGGAACACCATTAAGACATTAACCTCGTTGGATAGGCATTTGTATTTCATTGTGCAAATAGAAAGTGAGGCTATCAGATGAGTTATTGTATCTCCTGGGTTTCTCTTTTGTTGACGTATAGTAAAAGTTTAATTTGAAGAACAAAACTCTGAAACATTGGAATCTAAAAAGAAACCATCCAGTTGATACCATCTACTACTTCACATATGATTACAGGTCGAACCAAAACAAAATACTTTTTCTTAGAGGATCCATTTTTTACTTCTGCAAAACTGAATGAACTCCGGAACATGTCTATATTTTAACATATTTATATTTTTGTTTTGATTCTGATATTCTTGTTTGCACTCTTATTTTAATTGTTTGTGTCACAGAGAGTAACCGATGCCGATCTCAGAGCATTAGTGTCGGATGAAGTTTTTCAGCCAGAAGTTGTCTGGAAGCTTCATGATTTACAGGTTTGTCGAGATAGTTTTCAACCTTGTTCATTTTCTGATCCTCTAAAGTTTTAAGAAATAATCTCCAATTTACCTGGATTGGATTCTCAGGTTACCTGTGGAACTCTTGGTCTTTCCACAGCAACTGTTAAATTATTCGATGCTGATGGGAGAGAACATGTGGCATGTGCAGTTGGAACGGGTCCAGTGGATTCAGCTTACAAGGCTGTTGATCTCATTGTAAAGGTGCGATAAGAAAATTTGCAACTTTCAATTATATTTACATTTGCATTTTACACTTGTACTGCTTTTAGGTTAGATTCACTTAATATTATTAGGGTATTTATTTAGCATCTTTAGGGTTTCTGGGTTTCCCGTTTTAAAGTATGATATGTTTTTCATCATGTAGTCATCTTTGTAGTATGTAGCCTTCTTTCTTTCGGTCAATGGAATAAGAGTCATAGCTTGCAATCAGTTTTCTTCTTTTTCTTTAATTTGTTAAGAGGTAGTTGGCAAGAGTCTTACCGTAAGACTAATAATAATGGAACCTTGGGAATCTATAGTGTGCTGTTGAAGGCTATTTTCAGAGTTGACATGCATGCTCCGATGAGTTTATTGTGTTCAGAGGATTTATGTCAACTAAGATGAATGATGGATGATGACCATTGTAGTACTTTTTGTTTGAAATATTTTTAATGCCCAACTGTTCTGCTTTTTGTTTTTGTTTTTTGTTGAGAAATTGTCATCCTGTTCTTTATATTGGGAAACAACATTATTTGCGTATGTTGTAAGAAGTTGGCTTCTCCCTGTAGCAGGAACCGGTAACACTCCTTGAGTACTCTATGAATGCTGTCACAGAAGGAATCGATGCAATAGCAACTACTCGTGTTTTGATCCGAGGGGAAAACAGTCATATAACTACTCATGCTCTCACCGGAGAAACAGTTCAACGGACATTCAGGTGCAGTGTCTAAAAGTTGTTTGTTTTCAAGTTTGCATATTTTCATTTACTTGCATGTTAACAGTATGGAAATCTCTATTTTATCTTCTGGTGCCAGTGGAATTGGGGCAGGAGTGGATATTGTTGTGTCTAGCGTGAAGGCCTACGTTGGCGCATTGAATAAG